AAGGATGAACATCACTAACTCTGTCTGTGTTTCCTGTAATAGAAATAAACTAAATTAAATTAAAACATTTTTCATTATAGGAATACCCAAAGGTTCTCTTCTGTTGTCAAAACAAACCCCTGAAGAGCCAAGACAAAACAAAACAAACAAAAGGAAATTGAATTGATTTAGCTATATTCCATACCCCTTGTTTAGAAAGAGTGTCCAATTCTACTAGCATGTCAGGCCAGTGCTGTGGCCACTCCCGCTTGATCATTTCTACTACAATTCTAGACAGAACATCTTTTATATGATTCTCCTCTTCCAAAATGTCCAATGTTCCCTGAGAAAGAAGAAGAGATGTTAAGAGATCTGCTAGACTGAATTCATGGGGAAAAAAACCGGGCTGTTAAAGGTGTACAAAATTCATCAGCAGGCCTGCTTTGAAACAGAATAAACAAACCTGTTCTCCATATCTGAGTCATATGTCCTGCATTCTTACTAGTCATTCTTCCCACTTAAAGCTTAAGTAATGGTTGCATCAGCTAATAAAATGGCTGTTACAGAGCAAAGACGACATCACTGTTTCCCTTTGTAAACTGAAGATACTCTCTAATTGGTCATTTCATTTTGTGGGAGGGTCAACAATGATAGAAGAATATAGAAAGAAAGAGCACTTTGAGAAGCTGATAAAGGGAAAGCAACTGAGTATTTTATCAATAGTTTTAGTACTGAAAGAATCAGAAAGGTTTTGATTGGGCTCTGTTCTTCTAAATTTGATAGAGGGTTCATCCAGTATCCAAAAGTACAACATTACTATTTGATATGAACTGGTAAATTACTTTAGAGATACAGGAGTGCTAGTACAATAATTTATATAGAAAATATTTTGAGGGTTCCAGACCCAAAAAATAACCTACCAAATCATGCCAATTAGGAAATTCTACTTTTCAATATTGGGAGGAAATTCATAACAAGATTAATAAATGACTTCTATTGAGTCCCTCAAAAATTGCAAAATATAAGTCCCAATCAGCTAAGTTAATTAAAAAAATTGGAAAGTAATTTCTTTTTATATTAAAGGCAAAGACTTTGGAATGAGAAAGGGGTAGGACTTCCATGCCTTTTGTTAAAACAACAACAGGGCTTCCCTGGAGGCACTGGGGTTAAAGGCTCAGTTTCCTCAAGGTGTCTGGCAGCCACTATGATTCTAGTTAGATCCCCCGCCAGGGAGCTAATCCACATGGCACAGCAGACCTTTCCTGTCTCACCAGCTGCTCCCTTAGCAGTGTGTTTCAGCTGATCTACCTGTTTTGCTCCCCACCCTGTCTTGGGTAAATCCTCTCACCCACAGTACCTCTAGCCCCTACTCCAGTTCTTGTATGCATAAATAAATAAAAATAAATCTTAAAGAAAAAAAAACAACAGATTTAAAACATGTTTAAGCCATATTCTTGAAACAAGTCACATTTTCCTGAAACAAATTCATCCTGCATACATTTATTGCTAATATCATATATCATAGTTCATTCTGGAATGAAAGGAAACAAAAAGCAAAGTAGACAATGTTTCAGTATAACTTAGATCTAACAATCTTACTATCTGCTCAAAATGTTTACTCTCTTGTCCTTGTCTTTATATTTTAAAAGTGTTAAGTCAGGGGCCTCCCCTCTAAAATAGGGACCTCCCATCTAAAATAGTCTCAGAGCTATCAAGCTATTGGCAAGTCACTACAACAGGAGTTTGATCCCAGGCCAGGGAGCTAAGCCACAGGGTGCAGAAAACCTCCCCAATCTGGCCCCTTGCTCCTCTGAGCAGTTTATTTCAGTAGATCTGCCTATTCTGCTCCCCATTCTGTCTCTGGTGAATCCTCTCACCCCTGTACCTCTGGTCTACACCCTAGTTCTTGTATGCATAAATAAATAAAAATAAACCTTAAAAAAAAAAAAAGTCATCATATAAGGGATTAATTAAGCCTCGTAAAAGAAATGTGAAGAATTAGGATTCTTGTGATGGTGGTGCTTTCTACCTTAAAGATAACATTTAATATGATATAAAGTATCCTGTTTGATCTAGGTAGAGCCAGTGAATTTTTATATAAATGCTACATTGAAGAAGTCATACTTTGTCTAAACTACCTTGGAAACATTAAGTCTTCCAAGCAACCATTCCTTACATTTGCAATCAGCTCCATGACACTGTTCTTCAGATAGACCTTCTCCAATCGAGACATGCTGTTCCATCGAAACCTGGCCACCAAAATGCATAAAGTCAACAGAACCACATTAGAAGTCTTCTTTTCACAGTAGTTTTGATTCCTGTTTGTGATTTCATTATAGAGCTATACTTTTGATTTTATATTCTTCAAAGAACAAAAATAAAATTGAGGTAAGAGTTTTATATAGACAGCAGTTCATTAATCAGAATAAAGAATTTGTGGACAAATCAGTTTTTCCCATTGATTTTAAAGACCAAAAGCAAAAACACATCTGGGACAAATACAGCATAAGTGGAAAAATATAATCTTGATACCACTAACTCCTTTTTTGTGCTGGTTACAAGGTAGTACACAAATAGTGCAAAAAACTGAAGCTAAATCTTACAAGCTGATTCTTCTGGCAAACAGAGTGGGTAGGACACTTAAGTTAGGAGGGTTTTCAGTTACTGTCATATAATGCTGCTTTGGCCAGACCGTTAGGATGTCACACAGCTTCAATTTTTTTTTTTTCACACACTATCAAATTTAATAATAATTAGAAAAAAATTAAAGGCACAATGCCAAATGAGAGATTGATTTACCCATTCACTAATTTATTCTAAGACTTTTGAGTTCTACTGGCATCTTAAGTAGGAGCTCAATAAATGTTGGTTAAATGAATAACAGCTATTAGCAAACATTCATGGAAAGCTAAGTGCTTTATGTACCTTGTGTTTTACACAGAAGAAATTACAACTTTACATAGAAGGAAAAGGTTAATCCTTGAAGGAGCGAATTCCCGTGAGGTTCTGATAAACTTTGGGGAATCATTCACTTCTTCTTGGGGATTGTTCTTTTCAACTCATGTAAAGAGCATCTCTATGAGTTATATAAGAAATAAAGATTTACTTTCTCACAGACTTTGGTGGTAACATCCAAAAGTTTCTTACTTGACAACATGCTCCAGGATCTGAAGGCCAAAATGCCTAACGATGGCAATTTGTGTTTTCTCAGCCAACTTCAAGCCACAGGGAACACAGATAGGGCACTTTTCTTTAAACTCTTCACAAAACTGAAAGAAAAAAAATTAGTATTTCCCTTGGGAACCAAGAGAAGATGAGAACTAAAAAAAACCCTTCATTTTAAGAAACTCTCTGAACTGTACTTTTAAGTTGCAAAATCTAGCTCAATATTATAGGAATAAAACAACAAACATTTTCGTTACTTGGGTAGTTCCAGTTAGGTAAATTAAAAAAGACAAACTAATCTAACTGAGAAAAAAACTATTTGTAGGATATCCATTAAGTATAATGGCTTGAAATGACTATTTTCTAGGTTTTGCTTTAAAATCTTTTGGTGAAAGAAAGCGATAAAGCAAATGTAACTGCTGAATTTAGGTGGTGGGTATATACAAGATCATTGGAGGATACACTTTTTGTGTGCATATTTAACCTTTCATAATAAAAAACAAGTAGAAACCGACTTTTTTCTGATTCCAAATCCGGTAGCATATATCTGTATTGTAAAGTTTTTTACAACTCCACTTCATGAAGTTACATCACTGAAAACATGCAGAACACGTTATTTTTCCTAGTGGTCATTTCTAATAGTTCACATACGTACATCGTTTGAAGTGAGCATAAGTTCGTATTTATGGTATTAGCATTCCCAAATAGCAACACACCAGTAGGGTGTACAGCATCTGGGACTCAAAAACACTACTTTCAGGAAACCAAAGTGCCCTTGTTAAAATGCAAAGTAAGTGGTATTAGTTCATCTTCGCGCAAAATCGTCTAAGAATATCACACTAAAAAACATGGGGGTGGGGGTATGAGATTTAGCCCAGCGGTACCTAAGACACAGTAGAAAGTTAGAGGTGTGTAACAATGTGAGCAAAGAGGCTCCAGAGGGGCTGAAGCTCAGTTAGAGCAGGTCAGCAGGGTAACTCTTTGAGTGCAGGGAAACCATAAAGAAAGTGGCTGTTGTCGGGGACGGGATGGACACGTGCGTCTTAGGAAAGACGATTGGATGTGAAGATGTGGGGCTTTGGGAGATTAAATAGGTCCAGCCGGCAGCGGAGGTTGTCGTGTTGCGAACTAGAGTGAACAGAAGTGGGAAAAGGATAAGAGGGCAGCAAAAAGTGGTGGGATGAGAAGCTTTTAGGCACCGGAGCGTTCCCTGGGAAAGGTAGTCTCGGCAAGCAGACAAGGCTGGGAGTGGGAAGAGGCAGAAGACTGCGAGGAGAAGCACCCCCCATCCGACCCCCGGGGATTAGGGAGGGCGGTCCAGGGGCTACGTAGTCGGGAGACCACCAGGGTTTTGGGCGGTGCCGGGTCTGCTGGGGGTGGGAAAGGGTTTCGCGGCGCGGCAGGCCCGGGGTGCAGACCCCAGCTACCTTGAGGGCTTCCAGCCGGTAGCGCTGGGTGGAGCTGGGGTCCATCATGACCGTCACCGCTTTCACCAGCTGCTCGCACAGCGCGTTCACTTGATCCATCGCCATGGCTAGCGCCACGCGCCGCTAACACGCTCCACGGCTGTCCCGGGAGCACGAGGACCGGATGGTGCCTAGGCGGGACCACACGCTGGTACCGGGCCGCGGCAGGCTTTGGGGGGAGGTGGGGAGGTGCGGAGCTGGAGGAGGAGCGTGAGGGCCAGAAGCTCCAGCTTGGAAGGACCGAGTGCTGCGCACGCGCCCGACTCGTCACTGCGCACGCGCCCGCGGAAGTGGCGACTCCCTTGTGACGGTTGCTGCTCGGTGGGCGGAGCGGGAGACGGAAGGGTGCACTGCGCAAGCGCGTCAACGGCCCTTCGGCTGCGCGCGGAGTGTAACTTCTGTCCAGAGCTCTAGCTGCCCAGTGGCTGGCCTCGGCTGAACCCTTCTGGGCTGTGCGGGCGTTTGTCAACGCAAGGATTCTCCATCGGGTGCTCCGTCGTCACCGTTTCTTTCGAAACCGACTGGCCTGCTTCTAGCAAGTCTCTTTCATCTTCGTTCTAGTAGACGACACCGAGCCCAGCATCCGCGGCGTCTGCGGTTGGCAGTTTATCAAGGGGTTGCCACACTGGTGAGAGAATTTAGGACCGTTCGGTATCGTTGTTTCCAAACTTTTCGTATTGTTTATCAGTTTTTTGATGTAGTAATGGCTGGTGGCAAAACTAAACCTAAAATACTTAAAATAGAAAACAGCTGACAAATATGGCCCTTGTACTGTGGGAAATTTTTTCCATAAGAAAAAGATTTTCCCTGTAGCTCTTAAACTTTGTGTTTACTTAATTTCCTTGAGTGTATCGTCAGTTGATCAGCACCATATTTGTATAGGTTGGGATAAACCTAGTCGCTTAAAGATTAATAACTACAATCACTGAAGGTTCGTGCCATTTATGCCACTTTGAAGTGTTAGAGACAAAAGTAGTGTAATCCTTACTTAGAAAGGCAGAATGTTTCATTTTCCATCTTTAAAGATCTCTTGCATTTACTATTTTTTTTTCTAGCACCTGTTCAAGCCACCGCTTTGATTTCTCACGTTTATAAATTATCACTTTCTGCCTGTTTTAGGTGAGTGGTCAATTGGAATTTATAAGAAATTATGCCTTCACTACTCGGATTTTTAAGATTCATTGTTTTCTTTCTTTTTCAAAGCTGATCTTTCAGCTTTGTAGGGGCATGGCACTTTTTCAAAGTGAATGTTAATTCTTGACTCTTTTTTTAGAATACAGTTGGGTGTTTACTCAACTGTGCAACCTGGCTTCTCATATTTGAATCATGAATTACCGTTGTTTCCATAAGTGTTATATTTACTTAAAGTCAGTGGTTGCTGTCCCTACTACATATAGCCTGAAGAGCTTTTAAAAATCACAATGCAGGCGCCTCCCTGGTATAGCAACAGGTTAAGCTGCAGCGCAATGAGGCAATTCCCAGCCACTGGAGCACCAGTTCACTTCCATCCTCAGCCAGTGAGGTGATCCACATGGCACAGCAGACCTCTGCTGTCTCGCTTGCTGCTCCCCTCAGCAGTGTATTTCAGTTGCTCTGCCTTTTCTACTCCCCATTCTGTCTCTGGTAAATCCTCTCATCCTGCTGCACCTCTGGCCACACCCCAGCTCTTGTATGCATAAATAAATCTTTAAAAAAAAAATCACAATACCCAGGTAACACCCATACAAAATAAATTAGGTTGTTTGGTGGTAGAAATCAGATTTTGATATTATCTGAATGTTCCTAGGTGATTACAAATTTCAGCAAAGTTTGGGAGCTACTGCTTTATATTACTTATTCCAGATTACTAACAATGTTAACTAATATCATTAGTGTGGGCTCTCCCTGGTGGTACAGTGGGTTAAAAAGCACAGCACTATGCAGTAAGCCGAGTTGCAACCACTTAAGCATGAGTTAAATCCCCCCGCCCAAGAGGTGACCAAGATGGCATAGCAGACCTCTGCTGTCTCGCCTGCTGCTCCCCTCATTAGTATACTTTGACAATACTTTGTGCTCTACTCTGTCTCTGATGGATCCTCCCAATGCCCTTTGCACCTCGCACCTCTGGCCTGTACCCCAGTTTTGTATGCATGAATAAATAGAACTTAAAAAAGAATAGTATCACTAGCCTATGTTTACTCTCAAGTATATAAGGGGGTTTGTTATTCATACCTTTATGTATGTATCTGAATAAATAGTATGTGGTATTTTTTATTTGTCATAAAAACTTACATGAATGGGAAGAAAATCACCATTGGACTACTATAAAGTAATTTTTACTAGTCAGTCAGTGATACTTAGTGATTCAAAGCTTGAAGAGAAACAGGTTATATAGTCTCAAAGTATCCCTTTTATGATAATAGTTACAAAAGGAAAAATAGTAACTTTATAGTGAGAAACCTGCAAATACGATTTCAACTAAATGATTGTGGATAAATGGATAATAACAGTAACAAGACATATTAAAATCATGTACCTCTCAATGATACACCAAAAAGAGCGTATCACTTACCAAAAATGTATAACTGCAATCTGATCAAGAGAAAACAACAGACAAAACCTAACTTGAGAAAGTAATTGTCTAGTTCTCTTAAAAAATGTGTCAGAAAAAAAAGGAAAATTCCAAGGAAATGTCACAGATTAGAGAAGATGGAGGAGTCATGGCACCTTAAAGGTTGGATCCTGGAACAGGGAAAGGATATTAATGGGATAACCAGTGGAATTCACATATGTAGTTGAATATTATCAGTGTACATTATTTGGTTTTAATAAGTGTTCTATGTAAAATGAGAACTGTACTATTTTTGCAACTTTTCTGTAAATCTAAAAGTATTT